TTGCTTATATGTGCTGAAATCACCTACTGGTACCAGGCTCTGTGCTAGGCACTGCACACACAAAACTGAATCAATCTAAGTTTCTAAAGGGAGATCCCAGTCTTGTGGCTGAGATAGTTAAATAATTATGATACAGGACCAGGGATTTTAGCTCAGCGGTTCGGTGGCCTGCCTTGCAAGCACAAGGACTCGAGTTCAATCCCTGGTACCAAAAAAAAAAAAAAAAAAGAAAAAGAAAAAGAAAAGATACCAAGTGATAAGTGGATTGGTGGAGACATGTGCCTCTGAGGGAACATGTGGTCACTCAGGGCCAGATTCTGCTAAAAATATTAGAAGTTCAAAGATCCTCTGTGAAAATCCTCAAAAACTCCCAGAGAAATGCATCCTGTTCTTCTGAGTACATCTTCTAATTCTTGTGGCCAGAGGCAGAGATATATATGGAATTAAGCATAAATTAAATAAGAATTCTATCTTTATTACTGATCGTATGAATGAAATCAGATACATGATTCAGATTTGAAACCTTCTCCTTTTCTATTTCCAAGCTTTCTTCTAAGAACAGATCATCCCCCTACATACACACACACACACACACACTAACATGCACACACACACCATAAAGAGAGGGAAGGAGGGGGGAGGAGGAAGAGGAGAGGCGGGAGAGGGAGTGGTGCACACACCTTTGCGCACAGAAAGACATGATATGTCTAGGACCCTCAATGCTCAATCTACTCACATCATCCACTTGCTGCTCCAGCTTGACCTTAGCCTTGGTCAGGGTGTTGACCTTGTCTTCCTCAGCCTGAAGATCATCCAGGGCTTGCTGGTGGGCCTCTTGCAGAGCTTTCTTCTCCTTGGTCAGCTTGACGATGATCTCATCCAGCCCAGCCATCTCCTCTGTCAGATTCTTCACCTGCCAACCAAAACCCCCACTCCTTCAGCACCAAAGACCAATAGCTGGGACATCTGTGGAGACCTCCATAACAAGGACCAGGCCCACCCTCTGGTCTGGGAATCTGAGGAGACCCGGGCTGGGGCCAGAGGTAGCTGTCCTTACCTTGTTCTCTGTTGCATGCTTCTCCTTCTCCACCTTGGCCAGGGTCAGCTCCAGGTCATCAATGTCCTTCTTGAGCTCTGAGCACTCATCTTCCAGCTTTCGCTTCTTGGCAGTGAGCTCTGCGTTCATCTCCTCCTCATCCTCCAGCCTCTCATTCATCTCCTTCACCTTGGCCTCCAGCTGGATCTTGTTCTTGATCAGCTGGTCGCAGCGCTCCTCAGCATCAGCCAGATTGTCTTGTTCCTGGGGGCAAGACACAGAAGGGAGGCTGTTCAGTGGGGTCCTTGTCCTCACAGGTGAAGGAAGGAAGAGGGGCATCCCTCAAACAGGAGGGGAGCTCCGGGGTATTCTCAGTTGAGATGGAGAAGGGAAGAGTTTTAGGCAGTGTGACTTGGGAGCACTGGGGAGAGAAGAAGGGAACTAGAGGACTTTGTTTTTCTCTCTTTCTCTACTCTCCACTATGAAAGAGGAAGAATTATATTTGTCGATGCCAAGCACTTTATGTATTTACAACCTAGTAAGATGGTTAGCTTTACTCCCTGGTCCAGAGATGAAAAAATTGAAGCTCAAAGATGATTTGTGATTTTGAAGCCCAAGGTCATAGCAGTACTAAGCTGTGTAAATCCAAGTGGAAAGCCTTAATATTTAAAAGTCAGTTCTTTTTACTTTCCCTTTTCCTAAGAGACTACTTTGGATTCCAGAGTGACTCCAGAATCCTCTTGCTTTTGGGAGGGACCAGCAGGTGAGCTCTCAGGCAGGGAGGTGCATGTTTCAGGGTGGATGAGCAGGGCCAACAGTGGCTGTGGGGCCTCACCGCCTGCACTTGGAGCTGCAGGTCATTCTTCTCCTGCAGCAGCGACACCATCTTCTCCTCCAGCTCCTTGCGGCGAGCCTCGGACTTCTCCAGCGTATCTTTGATGCGCCCGAACTCCTCCTTCATGGTGGCCATCTCCTTCTCTGTCTCTGCACTCTTCAGCAGTGGCTTGATCTTGAAGTAGAGCTTCATCCATGGCCAGTTCTTGACACCCATGAAGGCCCGAATGTTCCACTGGATTATCAGCAGGGAATCTCTGCAGAGGCCAAGCCACAGGGGTGGTGAGCCTGCCCTCCTACCGCCTTCTCACGTGAGGCCCTGGCTCCTGGGTAGTGCCCTCTTTTGTTTCCCCATTCCACCCTCTCTGATGCCCAAACTGATCTGTCTGATGTCCATCCAAGCCCCCCACCCCACAGGTGCCTTTGTTTGGCGACCCAGTAACATCTTCCTTCCTAAGTCTCAGAGAGGCCAGAGACCTTCTTTTGAGATCTCTTACCTGCGTTCCAGTAGCTTCTTGTACTCCATTCTGGAGAGCACACCCCGGGACTGTGCCTGGATGCGCGTGATGATGCGGCTCAGCTGCTCATCCCGCATCTCCTCCAGCAGCCCCAGCAGCCCCGCCTTGAAGAACACCTGCGGAGAAAGTGTGTGTTGGGCACGACTAGGAAGGGGAATGAGAGAAGAGGTGGCAAGTATTATTTTAGGACAGGCAATGGTTTAGGGAGGAATTGGGGGGAGGAAGGTGGTCAATGGCAGCTGGGGGTGGTACTGGGATGGAGAGGGGTGGCTGGGGCTCAGCAATATCCTTGGAATGACTGGTGAAAGGAAAGGAGTTGGAAGGTAAGGAATCAAAGGACAAGAGACAATTTTTTTCCTGCATTTCCTCACCTTGGTGTGGCCGAACTTGTACTGGTTGTGGTCAATATCCAGGGAGCCCAGCAGCTTCTCTGCCCCTTTCCTGCTGTCAATGAACTGCCCCTCGGGAATGGCCGCTGGGTTCAGGATACGATACCTGGGGAGGGAAGTGCCCAGAGTCACCCCAGTTCTGGCAGGATCTGGCCTGCCTTCAGAATTCCAGGGCCACCTGCAGCTCCCACCCCAACATGGCTGCCCAAGGTCCCCGAGCTGCCCGTGTCCCTGAGCTCTGCAGCGCCCCCTGCCCACCTCTGCCGGAAGTCTCCGTAGAGGATGCGGTTGGGGAAGCCCTTCCTGCAGATGCGGATGCCCTCCAGCACACCGTTGCAGCGCAGCTGGTGCATCACGAGGGGATTGTCTATCACCCCTACAGCAATAAGGGAGAGGGGAGGAATGTGTGAGGAGAGTTCTACACTAATCTCCAGAAGTCCTGGGTTCTAATCCTGCCTGGCTGGCACTTACTAGCCTATAACCTTAGCAAGACAGTTCGTAACCCTTCATGTTCTTTGGCAGCTATGTTTGTAAGAGTAACCAAAGGGCTTTAACATTTCTTCTTTTTGTCATATTTTGTATTGTTTCATTTGAAACAGGGTCTCACTATGTAGTTCAGGCTGGCCTTGAATTCACTGTTTAGCCCAGGCTGGGCTCAAATCCTCAGAGATCTTCCTGCTTCCACCTCCATAGTCCTGGGATGGCAGGCGTGCGCCACCATGACCAGTTAACATTTCTTATTTTATATGGCTTATACTTATTACCATAGGTGATAGCCAGGAAAGACATTCTATTTTTTAGATGAGGCCTAAGATCAGTGAGCTGATCAAAAATCAAAGCCAGGCCTTGAGGTCCCTGAGCCTCTGTGTCCTTATCGAGCAAAAGTGGATAGACAACCCTGTATTTCCCATTGGGAGGGTTGTGAGTGACGAGCTAATGTCCATCCAAGTGCCTTATGTTTAACCTTGAGCTGTGCAGTCCAAGTATAAGGCAGCTGTGGGAGCGGAAGTCTGGGGAATGTGATTTGGAAACTGCCATGGTAGCAGATTAGGGATGACTTAGGAGGCCCTGTTGCTTGGGCAGTGTATGCCCAGGGGTGGGCTGGCCCAAGTTTGAGGCTCACCTGGGGACTTCGTCTCATTGGGGATGATGCAACGCACGAAGTGGGGATGGGTGGAGCGCAAGTTGGTCATTAATTTGTTCAGATTTTCCTGTGACCGAAAAAGCAAGAGGGAGATGTGAAGTGAGAAGAGAAGGAAAGGAAGAAGAGAAGAAGAAGGGAAAGCGAGATGGAGAGAATGTAAGGATTGAAGAGATGAAAGCACGTGGGGGAAAAGCATGCCTGAGGACGCAGGATAGAGACAGGCAAGAAACGAGAAGGGAGGTGAGATGGGAAGTGCATGAGATTAGAGGCCAGGAGATGCAGGGAAGAGAATTGGAAGAGTGGAAAGGATGTGGAACACAGAGGAGGCTGGGAGGAGAGGAGCTGGGAAGTGCTGGAGCTGGAGAGTGGCTGGCGGACCCGAGCAGATGAGGACCATGCTGGGTCAGAGCCACAGGCTCACCCTATGCAGAGCTGACACAGTCTGAAAGGATGAGCCTTTCTTTGCTTTGCCTTTGCCTTTGTCGACAGCTGTGGAAGGAAGGAGTCATCAAAACGAGATCAGCAGGTGTGCGGAGAGGCAAGCGTTTGGGGCAAAGAATCACAGCCTCTCTTCCCGTCTCGCTGGCTTTTGACCTCCAGATGAGAGTCTTCAATGTGGCTGGCCCTGCATGTCCACCCAGCTCCCTCCCTAAGTCTGTAAACTTCAGGGCGCAGCCTGACAGGAAGAGTGTGGTATAGCAGTTGACCTGCCTTGTTAGAAGCATGGTAGAAACCTGCTCTCCAGACCCTACTTACGTGCATCAGCCCCAGCATAGTTGGCAAACAGATTGCTGAGAAGCTTGAGGGAGGACTTCTGGTACAGGCCCACCACTGTTTCATTGAGTGGGTCTTTGTTCTTCTGCAGCCAGCCCAGGATGTTGTAGTCCACGGTGCCAGCATAGTGGATCAGGGAGAAGTGGGCCTCCGGCTTTCCCTTGACATTGCGTGGCTTCTGGAAGTTGTTGGACTTGCCCAGGTGGTTGTCATACAGCTTGGCCTTGAAGGTCATGTCGGTGGCCTTGGGGAACATGCACTCCTCCTCCAGGATGGACATGATGCCCATGGGCTGAGGGCAAGGATAGAATGTCACCAAGTGTGCAAATGTCACAGGGATGGAGTCTGCTCTACAGTCTCTGTGTGCTGGTGGAGATGCCCTTGGGGTTTTAATGTCAGTGAGGAGGACAGTTGTCTACTGACCGGCACCTGTTCAAGCTTTCCCCAAGTGGGAAACTTCAGTGATGACAGAGGAACCTTTGTGAAAGTCTAGGAAAGGATGGCTATTGGTGCTTTACTCACCACTCCATCACCCAGATCCCTGAGAGGAAGGTGAAAACACACCACCCTGACACTTCCTGGTGCCTGGATGTGTGGACCAGGGTGAGTAAACCCACAGTCCTGCAGGTACCTCTCCTACACATGTCTCATCTCAAGCCCCTGAGTTCTAGACCAAAAAAGGCTCTAGAGATTGGGGCCTTGGATTCTTCAGCCTCACTTCTGCTAGTCAGGCCATACTCCCGAGAGGGGGTGGGCTGCTGCTCGGTCTGGGATGGAAGAGGAGGAGACAGGGCCATGGGGTGGGTGGCACCTTCTCAATGAGGTCAATGCAGGCCTGCAGGTCCATGCCGAAGTCAATGAACTCCCACTCGATGCCCTCCTTCTTGTACTCCTCCTGCTCCAGCACAAACATGTGGTGGTTGAAGAACTGCTGCAGCTTCTCGTTGGTGAAGTTGATGCAGAGCTGCTCGAAGCTGTTGAACTGCAGAGGGG